GAGAAGTGGGTGAGGAAGACGTGGGATGGGGTAAGATATGATAAAATAATAATAGATTATAAATTATCGGCAGAAGGGTGGAGGGGAGAGTGGGGAGGGAGGGGGAAAATGAGCTGACACCAGGGGCTCAAGTGGAAAGTGGATGTCGTAAGAATGATGAAGTCAACATATGTACTTAAGTGCTGGACACAGATGACGTATATACAGATTGTGATGAGTTGTATGAGCCCCTAATAAAATGGTTATTTAGAGAAAAAAAAAGGCCTGATTTGTGGCAGATGGGGGACTGGTTTTGGCACCATGACAATGCGCCTCCTCATGCAGCCATCTCAGTGCACCAGTTTTGGGCAAAAAACAGCATGCCTCTTTTGCCCCACGTACCTGACTCACCTGACCTCATTCCATGTGCCTTCCTTTTGTTTCTGAGAATAAAGAGGGACATGGAAGGACACTTACTTGACGACATAGAAAAGGTAAAGAAGAAAGGGAGGGCAGTGCTGTCAGCCATCGGAAACAGATGAGTTTGAAAAATGCTTCCGAGCGTGGAATCTCAGATTTGACAAATGCATTAAGTGTAATGGAGAGTATTTTGAAGGTCATAAGGTTATTTTGTGAAAAAAAATTAAATACATAGCTTTGGGGGAAAAAAAGTCTGGTTTTAGAGGGGGCAAACCCCCCCCCCACCGTATATGAAATAGAGGGATTACTAGATAGATACTGGTATTTCCAGTTCCATTTTAAAGAAGGAAATGCCATACAATTTTCCCACAGGGTTATAGTTTTACAGTCTCAGAGGCAGTGTATGAGGGTTCCGGTCTCTTCACACCCTCACCAACATTCGTTGCTTTGTGATTTGGGTTTGTTCTTTCTAAAAGTGACTGTCAATGCTGGTGTGAGGTAATATGTCATTGTTTTCTTGATTTGCATCTCTCCAGTGGCTTATTGTCATGAGCATTTCATATGCTTGTTGGCTACCTGATTGTTTATTTGAGATAAATTTGCTTATCACTAAGGACTCCAAGTCCATTTCATTGTTCCCTTTCCTCCTCTTTAAAGCCATTCAAACCATTACTTAGGTTTGAAGGGTAAGGAAATCTGGAGGGAATTTTCATTTTGTTTTTAAAGAAACATACTCTATGGATATCACATAACCCATCTCAAGAAATGAAAGCAGCCACAGGGAGGGAAGGAAGATTTTGGAGGTGAACAGTGAGGTGGGAGGGGGCACTAGAACTGACAGTGATTGCACAGCTCAGTTTGGGACCATGGGGGCGGGGGGAGGCTCTAAGATAGATGTGGTGTTGATTGTACAACTCCCCTTGATGTGATTGAAGGGTCGAACTGTTCAATTGTATGCTATATGCCAATAACACTGTTAGGAAAAATGTTTTTAAAGGAAAGCTACTTCAAAATAAAAAAATCAATAGCAATATCCTGTCAAGCACTTCCATTTTCTCCCAGCCCCTTCTCCATCCCTCCCCTCTCTGTTCCCACCTCTCCTTGGCCTCCTTCTGGTCATCAAAGTCTTGTCTATATATAAACCACATTTCTTCTTGTTTTCCCTTATAACCATGATGACATGATTTTATTTTTCTAAGACTGAGTTTTCTAAGCATAATGTTCTCTAGTTTTGTCTATATTTTTCTGTTTAAGAAAGTCATCATTGTTTTTTGATGCATAAAATTCCACAGTATGAATGTACCAGAGCATATTTACCCATTCCTCTATAATTAAGGTTTTTGCTTGTTTCCATGTTTTTGCTATTGTGGATATTGCTGCATTAAACATAAGTGCACATATATCTGTTCATGCTATAGTCTTAATTTCTTTAGCGTACATACCCAGTAGAGAGATTGCTGGTACTTGTATTTGCATTTGCTTCAGGAAGTGCCATACTGATCTCTGTGGTTGTACAACTCGACAGTCCCACCAGCAATGTAAATGTTCCTAACTCTCCACATCTTCTCCAGCATGTTATTTTCTGTGCTGTTGAATTTGGACAAAAATGTCAGTGTGATTGAAGGACAGGCAGTTGGGTGGGGAACAGATCAAACCCAAGGATGTACATGCCATCCCAACACAAAGAAGGGGGGTGATGATGGCACTCAGGGAGCAGGGCACTAACCCACCGAGGGGGAGAGAATTGGTTATGTCTCCACCGAATTGGGAGTGTGCATACAGATCCCACCACGGTGCTCCAAACCTGGAGGGCAACGTAACCACATGGAGCAACTCATGAACAGAGAGGGCTACCTGGCCGGCCCCAGTCAGAGCCAGACCGACCCTCTCCCTAGAAGTATGTGCCACAGAGGACAACACTAAACCTACCAGTTGGAGAGAGGGGCTGGCATGCCATGCCCAGACAGAATCAAACCAAGGAGGAAAAACAGTGAGGTTCTAGGCCCCATATCAGCACACCAAGCCCAAAGGATGACGTCCCTGCATGAGCTGCTAAGGCACCGAGAGGACTGTAGGGCCGACATCAGCTCAAGACGTGATGCCCCTCACTAGAGCATGCCGAGACAGAGGACAATAGTTGGGTCTGAACCCCACGCAGCAGGGAGAACCAAGAAGAGGGCATAATAGATCAGCTACGGGAGCAAAGCAAAGCCACAAAGCTCCTGAGGAGCTCCCAAAATAGACTTCAGGCTAGGAGGGGCAGTTGCAATTCCCAGAATTGCCCCAGGACCAGTGAGGAGATAGCCATAAAGGTCAGACAGACCTAGAATTATGTATGCTTTTTTGGTTTTCTTCCTGAGTTGGTTAATTGTGCCAACCTGGCCGATAATCACGTGGGGCTAATTGAAAGGCGGAGGGAAAAATGGGTGATGAGCCTCGCCTTTCTAGCTCTCGGGTCTCTTGCTTTGTGACGGTTGCACTAGGGTGCAGCTGCCTTAGCAGTTCCCTGCTTCAGCTTGCAAGATGGATTTCCTACAAGACATCCCCAAGGAGAAGCCACATGGACCTATCCCGATGCAGCCCTGGGTGCTGGAGCAGCCGTGTGGAGACCCCTGCTAGTGCTGAGATGCTTATTTGTTCACTGACTCAGCTTTCCTCCTGCAGTCGGCATCATTGCCTCTGTTTTGTGAGGTGGAGGACTTTGTGGACTGGTGTTGGGTTAATGGGTTAATGTTGGACTTGTGGGCTTGGGCAGCATTGGGTTGGGATGTTTTCGTGATGCACACTTTCCTTACATAAAACTCTCTTATACATGAGTTGCTGTGGATTTGTTTCTCCTAAGTACCCAGACTAACACACTTCCTAATTATAATCTTTTTTTTTTCAATTTTTTTTCTTGTTTTGTCTCCGTTATTGTTGGTTTTCTCTACCTATATAAGATAGGCATGGGAAGCAAGCTCGAGGAGAAAGAAAAGGAACCAACAGTTCCAGAGGGACCTGGGCTACAGAGAAGCTCCCAGTAAAATGATATTTTAATAAAATAATAAATTCAGTACCAACAGTAAAAAAGTCCCGTGCGAGGTGATATCTCAGTGTTGTTTTAATTTGTATTTCTTATTGCTAATGACCACAAACATTTCTTCATATGGTTACTGGTAACATGGATGTCATCTCTGGTAAATTGTCTATTCATGTCTCGTGCCCATTTTTAAATTGGATTATTTGTATTTTTCTTGCTAACATACTATAGTTTTCTATCGATTTGGGAGATTGGCCCCTTCTAGTGAAGGGGATTATTTGGTGTGTCTGAAAAAGTGTGTCTATAGTTACTAGAGCATCACTTCTTCTAGAACCTCTCAGTGGACAGAGTAAGAAAATGTCTGTATGTGTGGTGCAGTCATTTATCAGATATGGCTCTTCTAGCCAAACCCTTTGAAACGCCCACCAAACAACTGATGGGACCATGCAGATTGGGTGTCATGTTTCCCTGGTGGGTCTGAAAACGTGAAGGTGGGGAACATGGTGACAGATTATATGATTCAGGTGTGAGTGATTGCTAACAGAATTGTGATTGTAAACACGTAGAACTCATGGTCAAGTTTGCCATCCACTGGGTATAAAATGAGCCATCTCAGATGCAGGAACAGGGGTCTCATTACCATAAAGAAGATAAGGAGGAAAGTATGTCCTAAGGATACAGAGCCTTGCATATGCTGAACCTCCTTGATCCAGTAGACAGAGAGCTGACGCACCAGAGAAGTGGAGGAGCAGGGTAGCAGCAGAAATAGCAGCAGCAAGAGTATTAGACAGTGTTGAGCCTCTCAGCCCACAGATTGAGTAAAGCTGAGTGTTTTTGTGTTGGAGACTGGTTTGTGGAAAGGGATGTCTCCAGGCACTTCACTGGAGGAACTATGTTTGCTGACTCAGACAAGGCTTATGGTGGAGTAGAGTGTCCTTTGGGCATTTATTGGCAGTGCTAAAGGAGGTGACCAAAAGGGGTATAGTTGTATGTAGGACACAATATTCTGTGTGAAGATAATGGAGACTGTTGCAAGCGGTAAAGTAATAACAGACCTTGGTGGCCATCTACTATAATCTGTTCATTTTGTACTCAAAGAAAATGAGGCCCAGAAAGATTAGAGAGGGATTTGTAAAAAGAGTCAAACCATTTTATTCCTTGCATTTTTTATTACCCTCTTATTTTATAAAATAAGTATCAAAATTCCTAGTTTCTTGATTAATGCTTGTAACTTTTTATTTTGCAATTATAGATGTACAGGAAATTGCAAAGATAGTACAAAGATTGCCATGTACTCTTTACCTAGCTTTCCCAAGAGGAAAGATCTTGCATAATAACAGGACAACTTCAAAATGAAAAACTGACAACGGTACAGTAACTATTAACGAGACTATAGAACGTATTCAGTTTCACCATATTTTACATGCATCCATAGGTGTGTGCATGTCCATGTTAGTCTATTCAATTTTAACACAGGTATAGATTTGTGTAATTACATCAAGAAACAGAGCCGTTCAACTCCCTTTTATACCAGTTCTCGTCTCTAGCTCCCACTCATCCGTTCTTCATTCCTGAAAGGGCTATTTCCACTTGTGGGCTACTGCAAAGAAAGCAGTTAGAAACAGTTGGACACAGCTTTCCTTGCTCTGAGATAAATGTGAAGGAGCATAATGACTGGTCACATGTTAAGTGGATGTTTAACTTTAAAAGACATTTCCAAATTCTTTTCTTGAGTGGTTGTACTGTTTTAATTTCCCATTAGCTAGATGAGATATATTGTTTTCAAAGGTCCAGTTTTTCTGTTCAAAATTCAACCGTATTTGGTTTTATCACTATTTTTTTCCCTTTAGCCATTCTGATAGATGTGTAATGACAACACAATGTGATATTAATTTTCTATTTCCCTGTCAACTAATGGTATCCAACATTTTTCCATGTTTACTCCCACTCACAAATCTTCTTCATTGAAATATCTATTCATGTCTTCTCCCCAGTTCCTGACTTTTTTTACTTTGGAGTTTTAATCATTCTTTGTATTTTCTAGATTGGTCAGATATATCAAAGGTTTATATATAAGTTCCCTCAATTTGTAGCCTGTCTTTTCCTTTTCTTTCGTTCTTTACAGAGCAAAAATTTTTAATTTGGACGGAATCCAATATGTCAATGCTTTACTTTTGAGGTTCAAGCTTTTACGGGAAAATGTAAGAATTGATTGCTTGCCCTAGATCTAAATGTTTTGATATCTTGCATTTACGTTCACAGTTCATTTTGAGTCACTTTTTTTAAAAATGAGGTGGTTTAGGTTGAAATTCATATCCTTAAAGGGCGGATGGGTGCCCACTTGTGAACAAGGCTATCCTTTCCTCTGTTTGATTGCTTTTGCACCTTTGTCAAAATTACTTGGGGCTATTTGTATAGGTCTGTTTCTGTGTGTCCATCCTCCGCCAATTGTCTTCATTATTGTGGCCTTATGTGGTGAGTCTTGAAATCAGCTTTCTGTGAGTCCTCCAATTTTCTACGTCTTCACAATGGATTTAGTATGATTCATTTTACATCTGGGTATTTTGCCTTTCCTATAGAGGAAGAAAAGAATAGAGAACAACTGTGGCTGAGAGGAATCAGACACCCCATGTGATTTCAAACTTCAGTATGACTCAGACTCAGCAGATTTCTAGGCTCCATCTCCCAGAGCTTGACCTCCAAGTAATTCTGAGGCAAATGGTTCTAGATTAGACTTTGAAACATAAGAATAACAATAACTCAAGAAGAAACAAATATTTTAAAAAACAAACCCAGTTATCACCCTTTCTTATCATCGTTGGGGTTAGAGCTCTCTTTGCTTTCTTTTTTACCTTCTCCCAATCCTAACTTCAACTTCTAGTGTACAATGGGCCTACTAAAAGAACTTTGCAAAGCATGATTCTTTTAATACATCCTAAATCCTGATAGTCTCTGGAAAAACACATTCAAATTCTACTAGACGCTGCAAGGAAAATGGTGTTTGCTCAACAGGAATTTCTTTGAGAAACAATGCGTGAGAACGCATATGGTTAAAAAGGGACACAACATGGACTACACCTTTAATAAGTTAGATACTGACAGCTATTGCAGCAAATGTTCTCAGAATATATAAGGGTGTTTCAAAAGCTTTGTGGCAAATGGAATTTTCCCACAAACTTTTTGGTGACCTTCTTGGTTTCCAAAATATACACCAGGAAAACATGAGAGACTTGCCTATCTCTCTGATGGCAAAGAGTAGAGGGAGGGTAACGATGAGCTACCTACGTTTCTACTAGCCCTGTTGTGTTTATGACTCAAACACAAATTTGAAACATGAAATTCTTTTCTTTAAGCTAATTCCATGAAAATAAAAACAAAATGAGGGGAAAAAAACATTTAAAATATATTTCCCAGGTAAAAAAGAAATCCAAAGTAAGTATTGCATTGGAAAAATATGCTGCAAAAGACATCTTTAAAAATAAGATACATTTCCCAGACATTTTCCCCAAGATTTGTCTTGCCAATGTACCTTAAAAACATCATGTTCTACAAAAATCATGTTACAAATGCTATTTGCAGGTCAATTATAGGTAGGTGGGTTCAGTCAACAGCTGTAATGAACCTGCCCCAAAAGCATCATTGTAAACACAGATACATAAATATACAAAACTCAAAATATGGGGATAAGAATTGGTCTGTTTGTTCCATATGAGTTGTGTATATCTTCACAGACTATATTTCATACTCATCACCACAAGGTTGATGCTTTGAAACCACCAGCTGCTCTGGGGGAGAAAAAATGAGGCTTTCTGCTCCTACAAAGGGCAGGTCTACTCTGCCATGTAGGGTTGCTAAGAGTTGCAAATGATTCGATGGCTAGGAGTTTGTTTGTCTTGTACATTCAGTACATTGAAAAAATCTTACCCCAGCTCATCTCCGGCTTATTCCAGGGAAGAAAGCTCTCGCATAAGCTCTTCTTTTTCTTGTTGCAACTCCTGCAAATGCTGTTGGTTTTGCTCCAGTCTGTCCTCCAACCACTGCAGGAGAGGCCCGCTGACTGCTGACATCTGACTGCACAGGTTCTTGGTAAATACTTGAACAGAAAAAATCCAAATGTAAGTAACTGGGGGAAAGCGCTGTCCTGCTCCACCAGCATCCTCAACTGTGAGCACAGGAAGAAGTTGGAGGAGAAAGAGCACAACGGTCCATCACAAGCGCTGGGAGGAGATGTTCTTGGGCAAAGACAGAAGAGCGGAACAAAGCAGACACCTGCCCAGCGGGAAACCTGACTGAGAGAGCAGATAGACGGCCAGCTCCTTATTCCTCCAGCAAAAGGAGCCAGGACCCCAGAGGGGGTTCCTTTCCCCAGCCTTTCAGACCTGCCCATCCAGTCAGTGACCACCGCCACCCCCCCAACCGGCGCGCACAGCAGGGTGCTGTCCCATGGAGCTCGGTGGGAAAACTGCTCGTCAAATGTGACAATTCAACTCACCTAAAGCTTTTCTTTCAAATTGAGGAAAAGCCAGAGGGATAAGAGTCAGGAATTTCTTTCATGCTTTACCGTAAATTCATGTGATTAAAATGTGGCCCTTCCTAAGCTTTGGGTGATGGTCAGCTTCGCCGTGAGAATGAATCTAAGGCACTCTTTTGAAACAAATTCCTCTCACAATACAATACTGTTCTTGAAATTACCACTGCTTGTACTTCAGAAAATACCTTTCCAGCGTTTCGTCAAAATATACATCTGTATGTGTGCGAGTGTGTGTGCATGCGCATGCACTTTTGAAAAACAGCTCTATTGGGGAATTTACTCCCCCCCACCCACATAACAATATATCATACACAGCTTTCTGTGTCCAAATATCTAACGTTCCTCTTGAGGGGCTGCACAACATTCATCTGAATAGATGCACAAATTTAATAAGTCCCCTATTGATGGAAATTTCACTAGCATCCATTTTTCGCTCATGACTCACTAATATTCATTTACATGTATGTTTGCATCTTTGTTCTATAACTTTTGAAGGATTTGTTTTTACAAGTGGAATTGTCAGATCCAAGTCCATTTATATTAAAACTGATTATCCTGTATTTTTCAGATTATATACCAAGATATACTCCAAAAACAGTATATGTCAGTGCTCACGTCCCTAATTATTTCTCAATTTTATTACTTTCAGGAGAAAAGAGAAAAATGATAACTTGATTTTAATGTGCAGGTCTTGTATATCAAGGTTAGACAGTATTTCGTTGCAACTGGCTCTTTTATCGGCCCTCTTCGTGTCCTTGGCTCATTTTTCTTAGAATGCTTTTTAATAGTCACAATAGCTAACATTTACTGAGACCTAACTATAGACCAGGCCTTCAGAGTTCTTGACACAAATTACATCATCTAATGCTCACAGTATAACTAGAACAATGGACTTTTTCCTTACTAAGCAGCAGCACATGGGTTAGATAACTTGAACACCTCCCACAAAGGACTTGCATTAGGTTCTACTGTGTGCCCTCAGGCAGGTTATTCAACAGCTCCGATCTGAGTTTCTTCATCTATAAAACAGGACCCCACAGCTCATTTGTAGGCCCCTGGAGATCCCCTTACAGAAGGGTCTCGGGGAGGACACAAGCCAGTCAGGGTGCAATGTAGCAACAATGAAACACACAACTTTCCTCTAGTTCCTAAATGCTTCCTTCTCTCCCCCCCACCCCCATCATGATCGGAATTCGACCTTGCAAGTCTGGCTAGACCAGAGGATGTACACTGGTACAGATAGGAAATGGAAACACAGGGAATCCAGGGCAGATGATTCCTTCAGGACCAGTGGTGTGAGTGGCGATACTGGGAGTGTAGAGGGAGGGTAGGTTTGAAAGGGGGAATTGATTACAAGGATCTACGTGTCACCTCCTCCCTGGGGGATGGACAACAGAAAAGAGGGTGAAGGGAGACGTCAGACAGGGCAAGATACGACAAAATAATAATTTATAAACTATCAAGGGTTTATGAGGGAGGGGAGAGGGGGGAGGGAGGGGAAAAATGAGGACCTGATGCCAGGGGCTTAAGTGGAGTGGAAATGTTTTGAGAATGATGAGGGCAATGAATGTACAAATGTGCTTTACACAGTGATGTATGTATGGATTGTGATGAATTGTATGAGCCCCTAATAAAATGATTAAAAAACCAAACAGGACCAATAGTAGTATCGACTCTCACAAGCTTAGCTTTTAAAGATCATGACTGACAATTCAATTTTTCTGGAAAGCGCCTATAAAAGTCCAAAAGTTATCAATTTAAATCTGTCGGTCTTGCCTTACATGACGGCAGGGTTTCAGGTAACACTTAGGCCATCATCTCCCCAGATTCTGAAAAAATATCCTTTCTTCTTATGTTTGTTTCGCTTAAACAAACAAACAATGCTTTATTGGGGTATACTTGGCAAGCAAAATATGCACCCACTTACCATTTACAGATCAATGAGTTTTCATAAATCTAAGTATATTTTAAAATATATTCAACTGTCTGTCACTACAAAAGTTCCCTGTGCCATTCTCCGGGCAGCCCTTCCACTCCTGATCCGCTGGCTGTCACCACAGGTCCCTTTTCCCTGCTCATGAATGTCAACGTAAGGACACGGCCTTTGTGCCAGGCTTCTTGTACTCAGCATGTTTTTGAGATTCACCCAATTGGTGTGTGTATTAGAAATCTATTCCTTGATTGCTTTTACGGATGTACAGTGTATGAATGTATCACACTCCACTTATCTATTTATCCATCGATGGATATTTGGGTTGTTTGTATAAGCTTTTGGCTACTAGGATTGATGCTGTTACAAATCTTCATATACAGGTTTTTGTGTGCACAGAGCTTTGAATTTCTCTAGGAGAGGAACTGGTTGGCATTTGGTAATCATAATCGCCAAACTCTTTTACAGAGTGGTCATACATACTAAACGGTGAAAGTTGAAATATCTTTGGCATTATTTCTGTAGAAGGCCTGTGGTGGGAATCTGCACTTCCTTCAAATGGAAGTCTGGAAAGCTTAATATTGTCTCTTTGGCCAAGCAGTAAACCTAGTGTCTGAAACAGAGCCCAACAGAGGGTAGCCATTCTACTGCTGAGTGAATGAATGTATTAACAGACTGGCCCAACCTTTGTGAATAATCTTCCAATTGGTTAGAAGTAACATCCTTGTCAAATATAAAGTCTTATCTTTAATGAGCCTATTTTGGAACTCTACTCAGTTCCACTAATCTATTTATACATGTTTGAGCTGTTATTATCCTTTTTATGTGGCTATGTATTACCTCTTTGTCCATGTCTTACCTGTAGGCAGAAATGACAGAAGAGACTAAACCATCTCTTTTTTTCCTTCCTTAAAATAATTGCTGTAAACATTCTCTGACTTCCTCACTGGTCACTAGTCTGAAGTCAGGGTTAGCCAGATAGAAGGGATGGATGGGTGAGTATGTCTGTTGGGGAAAGGGACTTGGTATAGATATTAAGCTTTCTGCTCCTTGGGCTTGTACACAAGTTTCTTCTGTATTTATTGATGTGGAAAAGATATTTTTCCCCTTGCACTCTCATCTGTCTTTCTGTAGATTGATAAATCTACCTATTTATCAACCTGTCTAATCTTTCAACCCTTACAACAGGCAAGTAGTGGTATGCTGGGGCTGCTAAGACTCAAATATTAAAATTTCAGGAAGTTCGCAAGCTAGTTGATGTCAAGACAGTAGCTTGACATCAGCCATGGTAGGGTTATCACACCATGGAAATTGGAAAACACTAAAACAAGGGCCTGCCTCACTCCGAGAGCTGATAGTTAAACACCTATCAACACCACTAAGTATGTAGATAATAAAGCTTATCCCATTTTTCTTGACTTATTCCAGATAGCACAAAACAAAAAACAGGAACAGGCTTGATGGCAAAGCTCTTGGAAAAGGAGACTCAAGAATAACTGGTACCCATTACTTCAATCGTTTAAACTAATTTTACTTCTGTCAGCTGAATATTTCAGGGATCCCTCCTCACACTCATAAAGAAAACCTTACCGGAACCATTATGGATCTTGGTTACTGAGTCCAGATGAGTAAGGCTAAAATGACAAAATGGTGGAGGTTAGTGGCAAACAAACAAACAGTGCAGTAGGGCAAACAAAATAGTCATGGGCCATTAAAAATGGCAAGTTGTATCAGACCTTTGCCAAATGGATGAGATGGACATGTGTGGCTTAAATTCCCATAGTGTTAAGATGTTAAGGATTGTTGGAATGTGATTTTATTCAAAAATTCAAGAGACACACATCATTTTGAAGTGATTGTCTCTCACGAAGCCTTGGGCATCTGTTAAGATGGTGTTTCTTTTGGTTTTACAGCATCTGTGCTCTTGCAGGATCCAAAGTGAAATGGGACAGGTGCAAATGTTAAAGAAATTGTTATCTACCATGCGAGAAGTATTATGAGGGAAACGAATTTAAGACACAGCAGTGGTGCTGCTCAAGGTAAAAGGGCGGAAGAGACTAGGGTCCTGAGGAGGGCAAAAGCCAGGACGGGAGATTCTCTACCTGTGGATCCTCCTGTATGCATCCTGCTCCTCCTGGCACAGGATCTTGGGTAACTCTACTGCTGATTCAAGGCACACTTTCCCAATGGTGACACGAGGCACAATATGGATTGGGATTTCAATTCTCTCATACCTGAAAGGCAATCAGCTCAGGTCAGCCTTCAGCCCAGGATCAGAACTTTGCTGTAGTTTTAATGGAAAATTTAGAAATGTTTACTACAAAGACTCAATACTCCTATCATTTATTTTTGTGGCTCAACTTCAAAAAGAAAGCATTCATACTAGCTTTATTTGTGAAGAAATCCAGAGGCCCAGTTGCACAGTCAATATTTTCTAATCCCATAGACAGTCTTATGTAAATTTCATGAAGGCCTTGGGAGCTCAGGAAGTTGTCAGGGACACTGAAGAGGTTCATCACAATGCCTGTGGCAGAGGTACCGCAAACTTGCCAATGACTCCAGCAGATTCACTCCAGAGTTGGGATTACTTACATAACTGCTCACTTGTTCTAACCCAGACTTCACCAATAGAGGAGTAAATATGTAAGAAATTCACAAATACTTGTAGGAGTAGGAGAAACAGATTATTGTTAACAGTCCAACCAATTGACCTATTTCTATGGCTCCCCTCAAACACACCTAAATTCCAACTAGCAGTGAGCTCTGTGGCATGTCCAGGCAGATAGATGCCTGGAGATGTGAAAAGGAAGCATCGCCCATAAGCACTTGGTGATAAAGTAACACAGGACCTGGCTTATCCCTCTTTTTTTCCCACCTAGTAGTGTGACTGGTCTCCATACCAAAACCTAGATGGAACACACACAATGGGGAATGACCACACTTCTCCCCCCGCAACCCACAGAGAAAGAGGAATTCGTGAAACCGTATACCATAGCTATACGGTTTTCAGAAAGCCCTTTGAAGTAACACATAGTGATTATGATTACTAGTAGTTCCATAAACCTTGAAGAAATCAATCTATTGATGCTACTGGTTTGGTTGGCAGGACTTCCTGTGGAGTTTGTCAGGACCACGAGCAAAATAGTTCCAATGGTCCATTGGCTTCGGAGAAACAGCCTCATAAATTCTAAGAGCGAACGCTAGAGTGTCTCTCGGCTTACTCAGGACCACACTGCGAGGACACGGTATGCCACACTTTTGTTTCTGTGAATGACAGACTAGGTGGTGAAGACCTGAACAACTGGACCAAGTAAGACAGCATTGATGGTCCTAGGAATTCTCTCCCAGCTTGGGAGATGGTTTTTATACACAGAGGAATGCCTTTGATGGAGGGGTGGATTTTGTCTTTCAGGAGACCATTCACCCCCAAGGAAGCAAAGGGTGGTGACTTGATTCACATCTCTTAGTAAGATGGGAACTCAGAGTGCCTCCCACTTTAGTCCTGTCCATTAGCAGAACAGAGAACTCTCCCTCACACCATCAAGCCTAGAGGCTACATTTCAGAATACATCACATAAGGGATTATAGCTAGAAGGGCCACACTGACTATATCTCACCAGGGAAATGCAAAGGAAAGTCACAAGGAGATACTAGCACATCACACTTGTCAGGATGGCTAAATAAATGTCAGAAAATGTCAATTGTCAACGAGGCTGTAGAGTCAAGAGAGCTCTCATATTACTGTGCAGGTCTAAATTTGTACAAGCACTTTAGAAAATTGCATGGCATAATATACTAAAGTTCAGTGCAGGAAATCCACAGGATACATCCAAGATCCATCCCTAACTTTGTCTTTAAGACGCTGTTGTTAAGTCGAACCGGAGCTGTGATGGCACTGCTGTGATGGCACTGCTCCCATAGAGTTACAGTCTCAGAGACTCAAGAGGGGGCAGTTCTACCCCCTCCTATGGGGCCACTAGGAGTCGCAATGGACCCAATGACAGTGAGTTTGAGTGTCGCTGTGAAATAAGCACTGAACTGACAATGCCAAGGTTGACAGCTGGAAACCACGGGCCTCTGTGTGAGAAAGACCAGGTCATCTGCTTTAGTGAAGATTGAGTCTAGGTCACTATGAGTTGGAAGCAACTTGATGGCAGTAAGTTTGGAGTTTGTTAACTGCACAAGGCGCCTTGGTGGCACAGGGGTTAAAGTTCTTGGCTGCTAACCTAAAGACTGGCGGTTCAGACTCACTAGCTGTTCCACAGAAGACGTGGCCATTTGCTTTTGGAAAGAACCACTACGGGGCAGTTCTACTCTGCCCTATGGATCACTACGAGTCAACCCCGACTCCATGGCAGTGGATTGCAAGGCATTAAATTAACTGAAGCCAAGCAGTTGGTTCTGGCTCATTGCAACCCTATAGGACAGTGCAGAACTGCCCAGCGTGCTTCCAAGGCTGTCCATTTTATGGAATCTTTCTCCCACGGAGCAGCTGACCTTGCAGATAGCCTAATTACTGAGCCACCAAGGCTCCTCAAAACGTCCACCCCACAGAAATGAACGCCCATCAGGAGGCATGCATAAGGTTTATTCCATAGCTTTATTTATATTAGCCCCAAACTGGAAATAACCCAAATGCTTAACCGGAGAATGGATGAATAAATAATGGTAAATTATACAGCAGTTGAAAAGAACTACTGGTGTACACAGCAACATGGGTGGATCTCACAGATAATATGTTGAGTGAAAATGACGTACACAAAACTGTACTAACTGTATTTGTCCATTTATATAAAACTCCAATACTAAAAAGGAATCAATTTTGTTAGAAGTCAGAATCATGGTTCTCGTTGGAAAGGAAGGAAGAGGCTGCAGGAGAGCTGGGGTTTCTAGAAATGTGTCACAGTTCCACAGGCAGGCATCTGAGTTGTGGTTCCACTTTGTGAAAAGTGATAGATCCGAACACTTCTAATTTGTAAATGCTTTGCTACATGTACTATGCTGCAACTGAAAAGCTCAATTTAAAATAAACATGTCCAAACCTCGAGTATGCTGGAGCTCACAGGTTAGTCGTATCTCAAAAGTCAACAAGTATTTGAAGCCTACAGCTGCGAGGACATTCAACAAATATGTTTTGAGCATAAGGTGCACAGTGGCAAAAAACAAAACAAAACACCACAGCCTTTGTTTTAAGGAGCTTGCATGACGGTAGAGACAAAACATTGGGAGTTGAGCATATCATAGAAAAACCAAACCAAACCAACTGCCGTCGAGTCAAATCTGACTCAAAATGACAGAGGAGAAACACCCCTATGGGTTTCTGAGACCATCAGTGTTGACAGGAGTGGAAAGCCTCATCTTTCTCCCAAAGAGCAGCTGGTGGTCTCAAATTGTTGACCTTGCAGTTAGCAGCCCTACATGTAAACCCACTACGCTGCCAGGGCTACCTAAGCACATCAAGTAAGGTGACAGAAGCAGTAGAGAAAAGATGATTAAAAAAAAAAGCAGTGCCAAGCAATAGGTTAGAATATTACTTTCAAAGCTGCATACTACACTCATACCACACATCAAAAAAATTTAATTGGATAAAGTTATTAAATAAAATAATAAAAGATTGAATATACCAATTTGCTTCTCCTGCTACCAAGTCATTTAAAATTACAGGAAAAAATACATAAATGTGGAAAAAAAGTTTTAAATCTTTAATGTCATTAGGAGATAAGAAAGTATACTTTGTTCTCGAAAAATTAAGAGGCATTCCTGAAAGGCGGAAAGTAAATGGGATTGGAATGGTGAGCCAAAGCAGAGCTCAAGGTACCTAGGATAGACCCAGTGGGGATCCTGTATGCAGGCTCCAAACCCAATGCACAAATACTGAGGGCAGAAGGAGTCTTGGGGTAACTGGTACCATACTGATTGGGTAGTTGGAATCTGAGCAACCATTCTAGATGCACCCTCACTCACTGCCCCAGCCCCATCCCTTGAGCCAAGAAATAGGCAACAGAAGTGCCTGCTCTCAAGTAGAAGCAAGGGATATGGGGCATTTGAACATAAGCGGGAGGGTTGGGCCCTGGTGGCAGGCAGTCTCCACATCTAAATAATGAGACAGTGCAAATACTGTCCTCCCATAATCAATGAAGAGAGAAATCACAACAAAAGAGAGGTTTAAGAAAATCTCAAATGTACAATTTTTTAAACTGAGTATAGTAAAAGCATCAAGCAGTTAAAAAAAAAGAATGAAAAAGAGTTCCATCAACAAAGGCACCTGATGAACTAGAATGGCTAGATGTAAATGAGTAAGTACACACTGTAAAGAGAACACATTTTAAAACAAAATTTGATAGGATCACTGGAATTAGAAATGTCCCGTATCGATGAATCCAAAGGCCTGTCAGAGACAGAGTTCACTGAAAGGAAGATGACTTTTGCAATGAAAGGTTTATCAGATAAGAATAATACGGAACTAGATGAAGTCTGAAGTAATGAACTGAAATTAAAAAACTAAGGAATTCTTTTAGCATATAGTGCTAGTGGTCAGAGATGGAGAGTGAGAGCTAAAGGTCAAGAAATAAGTAAAATACACCCATATTTAACAGCAGTAACCAAAGAAGAGATAATCCATAAAAAATTGGATGAGCAAAAAATATCTATGGTGTATATTAACAATAAATAATTGGAAACAAAAATATATCATTTACAATTGCTAGAAAAAAACACAAAAGCCCTAAAATACGAAGTTATTATTGTTGTTCCCATGGCATGACTACAACAAAACATAGATAGGATTTGTATATTTTTAATTATAAAAATCACGATGAAAGAAAACATGTTAAGTAGACATGAGAAGATATTTAAAACACCCAAATTGAACTTCCAGACATGAAAACGTCAATGCCCAATATAAAAAGTACACTGTATAGAACTCATGGGAAATTGAACTGCAGAAGAAAAATGAGCAAGCTTGAAGATAGACACAGAAATGACACAATATAAATTACAGATAAAGAAAAGACAAGGTAGAGAGGAACAAAGGATGACTGCAATAGAAAAATAGTTTCAAAGCATTGAAAGAAAGCCAACCTGCAATTTGTAAAAAGTATTGTGATTTGGGTGAAAGTTTACACAGCAAATAGATTTTCCATTCAACAATTCAGACACATTGTGATTTGTGCACTTGATTGCAGTCCTCACAATACAAAAGCACCCTTACTGCCTTCTGAGCGCTACCCCTGGG